TGTATCCAAAGCATTTTCCTTGACTTAAATGGATTTTCTCTATTTCAACACTGCTGAAATAGAAAATGTTTTTTTCTTGGCATACAGCACCTGAACATACTTTTCTGTTTATTAGTTGACCTTTCTTATCTGTGGAAATGTTTATACCCTGCAGTGAAACTTTAGTCCCAAGAAGATGATAAAGACTTGTAAGGTTATCCATAATTCAGGAGCAAAGCTCGACATATAATAATGGTTATTTGTTCAAAGCTTTTCCAAGGAATCTCATATCTTAAAAGAATGTCTCACTCTTTTGTGAAAGGGCAAAAGCAGGGCTGGGAATATACAGCAGCTTTAGGAACCAGTGCTTTGTTCCTAGAATTTGGGATGAGGTGTGTGTGTGTTTCGGGGGGGGGGGGCAGATAGCTAAAAATGCAAAAGAAACTCATCCCTAATTCCCCCCTCCAAAAACATATGAAAGTCCAAAACCATTAAACAACATGAAGGACGGCAACTAATGGAAACTGCCATACTTGAAGGCTTCTTGGGGCATGTCTACACTGACAAAAAGGTGGATTAACCACAAAACTGGTGCTGGTAGTCCAGATGATTTACAGCTACTACTGGTGAAGATCTGTCTTTTTATTTAAAAAATTGCTTTACGCCGACTTTGTTTTTTAAAAAAAGACTTCAGAGTGGTCTTAAAGGGTTTTGCCATGTGGACAGCTGAACTGGGTCTGATTTAGCCCGATCAGGTCACACAGTTATGTCATCCTCTTTCCCCATGTGATCAATAGGGAGGAGGAGATATGTAATCAACAACCTTTCCTTGTGTAAATACACTGAGTCAATGACTTGATAACTTAAGCAGGCAGACACAGAAAGAGTCTCTTTAATTCTTACAGCAACAGGGAATCCTGAGACCAGACCAAATTCAATGCAGGCAGCTCACCAGCACATCCAAAACAGTCCAAGATCATACACAAACATTAGTCCAAGCACAGGAACAGGCAACACACATCATCCAAGTATTCAGTCAGAGGTCAAAACACAGCTCACCAAAGCGCCACATAATGTAATGCAGATCCATGAATCCAACTAATTGACTGACAGCATCCAGTATAACAACTGCTTCCAGCAAAGCTCTGTTCTCAGCATCCTTCCTTTATGTTACCTCTCTAACCACTCAACAGCTGATCTTCCATCTGTTGAGCTAATCTCTTTGACTGGCACAGCTGGATCGAGTCTACTCTCATCTGCAGCCGTGTCAAGTCCTGCCCTCCCTCCTGAAGACCTTTATTCTGCTCTAACTTAATTGCCCCCTCAGAGACTTGCTCCTGCAAAGCTGTATCATTCTCAAGCAGGTTCAACTGTTCCTCCCCCATAGTCTCTTCTTTAGCTACTGGGAAGCAAATCCCCTTCTACTCCTCCTACTGACCCATGGTCCTAACACCTTGTTGATTCCATATCTGGGTGCTTGTTTCTGACTACAGCAGAAGTGACAATATCCCAGGCAGGCTTTCCATGACACCCCTGGCTGGAAAACAGGAGTTTCTTTGTCTAACAGGACGTTCCTTATATACTGCAAACACATCTTTTTGTCAGGATCTATTAAATTCATTAATGAACAATGTTTCACAGCAGTTTCATTAAAGGATAATGCTTACTACCACCTTCAGTTGTTATGCCAACTGTGCCCCTTCTTAAATCTGAAAGACCTAACTATGGCAGTGCACACACTGGTAATTTCAAGTTTCATTAAATGATAATGCTTACTACCATTTTCAGCTGTTATGCCAACTATGCCCCTTTTGAAAATTGAAGGATCTAACTATGGCAGTGCCCATGCTGGTAATATCAAGTCTAGGCCTCTACAATGCACTATACACTAGACCAAGTTTGGAAATTTCAATTTGCACAAAATATGGTAGCCAGTCCCATGTCTATTAACTATGCAGGCAACTGATCAACTAAAGTCCAATAGCATCTGGAGGACCACTAGTTACTCAATATAATATTTAATACTATGGTTTTCAGGCCACATTCCTTGCATCTATACATAGCAATGGAATTTACTTTGAGAAATAACTGAAGTGAAGATTTAATTACAAATGGGTATTGCCATCATGTTTTGGCATGAATATCAGGTAATAGCTGGCTGCTTCTTTTTTGGCACATTTCAACCTTTCTGAACTGTTGCTTCAACATAGGCCAAACAACAGCTTTTCCTACCCCCACACCCACCTTGTAGTATGAAGACAAGTTGTTGTTCTGTACCCCAGAAAGTATTTGATAGTGGATGGGTGAAACAACCTCTCTCATTATTTTGAGGTGGGCCTAAATAATTATGTTTCTTTACAATGTACAAAGCAATGTGAAAAGCTGTATGGTTCAGTTCAGAGACTTCATGGAAATGGGAGAGATAGGCATTGCAAATATAGCTTCAGATATTTTGTTGCATGAGACACAGCAGAAAATTCTGTGCTGTCTCCATCCAAACCACATATTGAGATACAATATAGATATGGTCAACAGTTAATACTATTTTAAATTGATTTTTAATTTAATTTAATCTAATGCTTTTACTTATTATGTAATGGTTGTGTTTTACTATGTTTTGTATGTGGGGGCATCAAATTGCTGCCGGGGTTGAGAAGGGTGGGGTACAAATGTTTGAAATAAATAAATAATATAATATACACAAATATAGGAAAATTATTTGGCACCTAGGATGACAATTTTATAAATGTTTCTACATTTTGGCAACAAAGCACAGTTAAGGATAACTTTAATATCTAATAATTTTCTGCCCTTTCATGACCCATGTTAACTGCTGCCTGAGAAAGCTACATTACTCTAATTATAGTGCTGGCCCTTCTTTGGAAGAAAATGCTAACTAACCATGCTGCCTTTCCTAGCTCACCCCACAGTTCTAGCTTTGGCAAGCCTAGTGGTTTTAAGTAGGAATCAATGATGTTACCCCCCCCCCCCACACACACACACATGCACAAAAACCCTCTACGCAGTTGACAGAAAACAATTACAGTGTGCCCTCCATATCTGCTGTCTGTAGATCAGGGGATTTCAACCAACTGACAAAAGACTGGGAGAAAGAGAGGGAACTGATTTTTGGGGTGGAGAGGGGTGAGTATGGAAGGTGGCAGAATATAAAGGATTGCATAACATTCAAGATTTATATAAACACCCTTTATATAATGGACTTCAGCACCCACATTTTGGGTAGCCACAGGGGGACCTAGAATCAATCTCCTGCAGATATTGGAAGTGGGGGGAGAGTGCATGAAGTTCATGTGTCTGAAGGGAAACTGAGCCCAGAAAAGACATAAGGACTAAAACAAGAACATTGAATGAATGGGATTCCAGAATTTATTGGGAGGAAAAAAGAAATGTCTCTAGGCAAAAATTGCACATGGGAGATAGACGCAGTTATTCTGTGGTATATCTTTTGAATTAGAATACTTGTATGCTTAAGAACAGTATACATATAGATGTACAACACTGTTGTTAGCCCTCCATTACAAGTATTTAAAAGCTTAATATTATATAAAGGAATGATAAAAAAATGACTATGGTCACACTGACTGCACTTATCAATAAGATAAGATAGTGAGATAGTGAGAAAGTCTGCAAATTTGGAAAGTAAATCAGATTTATTATTAAATCAGATTCATTTAAGTTTTGGTCCTATGTATCCGATAGTTGTCACCATAGGTTAGGTGTTTTAGTCACTTTGTGCCATATGTATGCCACCTCAAGTCCCTTTGGGGAGATGGAGGCGGAGTACAAGGATAAAGTTGTTGTTATTATTATTATTATTATTATTATTATTATTATTGTGCTGGTACGGCTGTACCAGGAGCTCCAAACTCCCTTTCGTTCTTTGAGCGTTTGCATGTGCTTGTTCTGGCCATGCATTTTGCAGTTGGATGGTTCCTGCTAGGCTGCAGTCATGGGGCTAGCCACCTGTCTATCATCGTTAAGTTTTAGTTCCGCCCTTTTTCCCAGGTTCAGGAGGGAAAGGAAACCATGTTAGTTCAGTCTTACAGTTGGAAGCTCAGCTACAGGACGTGAACGTTTTCTACCTGTAGAGAAGCTTTGTTTCTTACAAAATCTGGGGGGAAACATTCCTGAAAGCTCTGGCAGGGGAATTTACAGCCTCACAGCTTTAAGAACAGTCTCTAAAGAAAGGCTTTTAAGAGAACAGCTTTACAGCACAATCCTTGTTGTGGTTAGAGAAATTGACCTACAACCTTTGTGGGAAAAATCCTAAGGACTCCAGCTGGAAATTCTTCAGAGCCTTGACTAGTAGGTCTACTCTGGTACCCAAGAAGCATTTTGGAGCCAGGAGTAGAGCCCACACCAGCAAAGCCTAGAAAGCAGATTGTCCAGGAAGAGGTTAAAAAGGGTTTTCCTCATAAAAGAAAGAAATAGTTGTCCAAGCAAGTTGCCTGTCCATTGTAGACAAATTAAGAAGCATTTGTTTGATTTGTTGAAGATCTAAGATTGTTTGTTGAAGACCTAAGCAATTATAAAGAACTTTGTTAAACTTTTAAGCCTCTAAAGACTTTGTATTGGAAAATCCATAGGGCCTCTCATCCGAGGCACCCCGGCTTCCCACTAGGCACAAAGAGCACATCCTGTTCAAAAACCAATTGCTATATGCCCAGCGCGCGACAGCACAATTATTAATATTATTATTATCCTAACTTTTATTTTCAAGAGTGTGACTAATAACAGACTACTGTAGTTCAAAATATTAATTTAAGCTTGTTAGCAAAATTAGAGTGGGGCATTTGCAATTCTCAGCTAGAGAAGTCGTTGCCTTCCTAAACTACATTTCCCAGAATTCTGCAGGAGACACCAAGAAAGTGAGGGTGCTAGTTTAATAAATGCTAGTTTAATAAAGGCCGTAATGCAATCTTTTCCAATAACAGTGTTCATTTTTCATATTTTATGTTCTATGAAAATATGTAACTTTTCATTCTGTGAATGAGACAAACCTTCCTTTTTGTCATCCAGAGGAATCTTCACTTTTGTATCAGTTATGTCTTTGAAAGAGGACAGAAACAGAACCACATCACCTTTTTCATTCTTGATAGGGACAATGTCCAACAAGCACCAAAATGAAGACCCTATAAGAAAAATAACATAATAAGGACATCACATATTTAATTCAAACTGTTACTTTTTTTAAAAAAAACCCAAATATTAAAGTGATTATCACAACCCCTTTAAAAGGTAAATAAGGCATGACAGATGTTCAGCCCCTGTAATTCTCCTTGCATCATTATTTGATTCTCTCTTTTTTTCCTGAAAGGAAGGTATTGTATTTAATCACTTTTTTGGGCTAAATTACCTTCCCCAAATTAGGATGTGCATTAGATTCACATCATATGGCATCTTAGTTCTGAGCCAAACCAAAGGGGGAAGCTACTTCAGGAATACCTGGAAAGATGAGGAGCCCTGTGCTAGATAATTCAAAAGGCCCTGACATAAACTACATTTCCCAGAATGCAGTGCTCAGCATCAGAGAGATTTAACCCTCCATATCTAGCCTGAGTTCCAATAAATGTAATATTCTACACCATGATTTTTGTTCCTGGGTTATAAATGTCATTTTGCCATAGCCTAATGGTAAAAGTTTATAAACTGCAAAAACTTTGTCTTTGTGCAATGGACATTGTGTTATGGCACATTTTGCTGTAGTATCCAGCCCACTAATTTAGCATTGTCATCCACCCATTTAATGAAATTTTTGATGCAAAAACAAAGTTCCCAGAGTAGAACCACTACTTTCAAAGTAAGGACTACACAATCAAACAGGAAACATTTTCAAACTAGGAACATATTTTCTTCATTATTAAAAGAAAAGTTGTTTATAAAAACTTTGAAAATTCCCCAAAATCTGTGGGTAAGTGAAATGTTCTGATCTTTGGTGGGCTAAGAGTGGTAAATGTGCCAAAGTAGCTTGGCTGACTTTAGATACTATAGGCCTTGAACAGGATTTATGTCAGTTGCCATTTGCTGGTGCATATGACAGAGAAGCTGGATTACTTCTACACACCACTGTTATCTGGGCTTTCATTTTTTTTATAATCACTTCCTGCAGAAAAACTGAAGCCTACTTCTCTAGAGCACTTGTTCCATTCCTTAAAAGCCCAATTGACAGTAGCTGGCTTGAGCTTAGCTTTTGGTGGAAAGGAGACAGATAGGGAAGGAAACCACAGCAGTATCAATAACATTCTATATGTTTCTGATGCTCAAACATGAGAGATGTTACCTATGCAAACAAAGCAACCCACTGCCTGGATGTAAGATAAAACTACTGGCAGAAGCAGGGGCACTCTGAGGTCTGCAAAGATATTTTTGAAGATATTGTTTAGTTCAGAGTGGGGCATTACCTAGGAGTTTAGAAAAGTGAAGAATGGCACATCTTGAACAGGAACATTTCACACTGGGGACTCTGAAACCTGGCCCCGAGTCTAGGGCATCCTTTATAACTTTATGCAAATCAAAACATATATAAAACTAAAGTTAAGTTTTTTAATGACATCGCTTTAATGTAATGTAAAAAAGACAAATAGAAAAGAAATGGTATAACCCTGCTGATACTCCTAAATTTAATAAATAAGCTTGTAAAGCACTTGAACATGTTGAGGTATAGTAACAGATGCTATAGCCCCCCCCCCCGGGGGGTGTGTCAACATTTATTTTATAATGTATGATTTCTTTCTCCAAGCTCTCAGAGGCCTCAAAATCACCTTTACAGCCCTATTTTTCCTCAGACCTCCTCTGCGCTTCAACATTTTCTTACAGGAATTTAGTTAAAATACTTTTCTCACATAATTCTGATAATTTCCAGCTGAACTGAAAAATACCAGGGAATCATGGCTGCCATCAGACAACACAACCATATTTTTGGGTATCACTCCTGCCTCCACCCCACCCCTGTCACAGAACTACAAATCTATTGTTAATTTGGGCTAATCATGAAATTATCAAAAATAGTATAGCTATTAGCTAACCCATTATTTTTTCCTCAAAATAACACGTGACTGAGTCTGTCTAGTCAGGATTGCCAAGATTGCTGAGATTTTGGGACCAAAATTTCGTTTTCCAAACTTTGTTGAATTTTAGCTTTCTTTTTGTATTCCAATACACAAGAAAATAAGATGCCTGTATAACTTACATTTGATACACAGATAAACAAAATCTTCTGCACATGTAATAGTGTGAAATGTCATTTCAAACAAAAAAAATAGACCTCCCTGCTTTTCAGAAAGCTTTTTGCAATAAAGGACTTTACCTCCTCGCCTCAGCTACTATACACAAAGAGCACTGCCACGGTCAGCAGTCATGGTCTAAAACTGGCTGCACAGATTTGTATTTATGCATTATTTCTATTGCTCCTAGCTATTTCTATAGAAAATAAAATTGTATCTTCCTCCATTTCCAAGAAGATTGTAAGGTTCAAACTTTTAATGTTCTTAGGTTTTCTGTTTATCCCAGATAATCTGGCAGTGCAAGCTCATATAATACAGTTTAAAGCAGAAAACATGGGATCAGATCCTGGGATATAGGGCCTGTCTGGAAGGGCCCAATATTATAGAAGTAAAAGGAGACAGAGAGTGGATTTAAGAGTAGGTGCAAGAATTAAACTAGAAAAAAATCCCTTTCAAACTCAGGACCAGACTAGAGCTAATTTTAAATGACCTTATTCCTTAAACAACTGTATCTTTTTTTAGCCATCCCATGGTACTAGGCTTGGCTGATAAAAAAAATGGTTCAAAACTCATTTCAGATGTAGGGGGTTGCTGATGGTTTGATTCTAAAGTCACTTCCTAATTTTTCAAAAAAAAAAAGAGAAACTTGCTGAAACTTCCAAATCGATTCATGAATGCACAGTAGTAAAAAACACACTGGCACTGGGGAAAATTTAGAGGATTCTCCTTCCCTCATTTTTATACCAATCCTGATGAGACCTGCCACAGTGGTAGAACACATGGACCACTGTTAGCTCACCAAATTTTATAACCTTTGACTTATCCATGGATTTTTGATGAATTTTCACTTTTTAAGAAATAAAGAAAATCTGTTGAAAGTGTTATTTCATGTTTCATTGGGTGGTCTTTACTTTGAAAGTAGTTGTTTTACTCCAGAAACTTTGTTTGTGTGGCACAAACTGTGTTAAATTGGTGGAGAACAAAAATCATAGTACAGACCCCATCATTGCTCAGTTGTATCCCGGCTCTAGAGAGAGGTGCTTCAGTCCTATTGCTTTGCCACCACTCGCTCTCAGCTTTAGCTTTTGGCTTGGCTTTGCCTCTCTCTAGCACTGAATCTTTTTTATTTTCCTTTATTTTCTTTTATTTTCTGGATTTTTTATTTAGTGGGACTGGGAGTTGGAAAGTGCTGGTGGGTAGGTGGGTGCGCAGCATTTGTGGGTGGGCTTTTCTTTTAATGGTGGATCTGAGCTCTGAGTCACCCTTTAGCCTCTACTAAAGCCTTTAGCTTCTTCTCTTATCTCTCTTCCCTTGTATTTTTCATCAAAGTAGTACTGTTAAAAGATGATTGTTATTAATAATTATAGGAATTCCATCAAACAGCAAAGCCTCATTCTCAGAAATATTGCCTACCAACCTAAACTTACCACCAATACCTAATGATCATACAGGAATGTTTTTCTGATAAGGGAACATGCTGCTTGCTTGCTTGCGGATGGTGGACTGCTGGCCTCTTCGAGTACGTTGTGAGATCAAGAAATGTAAAATATTTGGAAGTAGTTGCTATTGTTCTTTTTTTATTAGTAGCGAAAGTGTGATACCGGGCTGCGTGATGTGGAAGTGCTTCTTTGACATTTGGCAGGAAGGAATTGTGTCCTGCTGCTGCTCCTGGAGAAGTTACAGGGTGGGGTCAGCGGGGGATATCTTTTTAGAAAATTTTAAGGAGATTTTACTTCTAGAAAGAAAAGAAAATCCTAAAAATCAGGAGGTGAGTCAAATATTATGAAACTTGGTGGGCCAGCAGTGATAAATGTGTCATCTAGGTGTGGCCATTTTTTCCCAATAGCCCTAAATTTAATGGGAAGGGGAGCTAGAACCTCACCAAACTGCATTAATACCATAGTGTTAAACTACATCAGTTCAACAGTGTTGATGCACCCATAGTCAGTCTAACCAGTAAATCCATTAACATTATATCCCATCACAGATCATAGATTGAAGTAACTGACATTATACAATATATGAAAAACAGGATTTAAGAATGAGAAATAAAACAAAGAAAATGTGCAGCTCCCGACAGCATAATGCCATAGCAGAAAACACATTGGATTTAAACTTTTGAGTTTTATTTCTTTAAATAAAAAGCAATGATTTTTATTAAATTATATGATAGAACCCTAATAGAAATAAAATATACCTCCCTGAAGCCATCATGTTTACTGTGCTTCCTGGTAGTTATTACTTTACACATTTGTGTGCTTATTATTCAACTTTTAAATAATGTCATGTATTCAGTTAAGTGCCTAAAATGACTTGTAGCAATATAAGCCTGCACTAAAAGTGTCAGACTTGTCAATTAGGGAACTCAAACTTGCTGCAGGTTCTAAGCTTAAAATTACAGAATAGTCTGACATTATTCTATATTGTGCTTACTTACAACTATATCCCAAAGGTTTTTTCCCTTTTGTAAAACAGCTCATAAAAGGAATTAAAATAGCTGGAATGTAATGTATTTCATATGTAGGCTTACACATTCTGGATTTATTTCAAGAGGCAAAACATAATAAAAGCTATTTCCCCATTGTGTTTCTTTGCCAGGAAGGAGTGGTGTTCTAAAGCTAGCAATGATTTGAATGCTGCTGCTACTTCCATAAGCAGGATAATTGTAGATAATGCTGAAAAAGTAGAAGCCATACAGACTTGACACTTTTCTCATTAGATGCATCATTGATGCTGCAACACTACAGAAGCTTCTATGCTACACATTATTTGTCCTGAAAGAAGTGGTGGCAACATGACTCAAGTAACGGGTGGAGTAGTAGCTTTGTATTTGAAACATAGAAAGCTGACATATTACACAACCCACAAGTTTAGAAAGGTATCATATTAATGCAAAACATCTTCCATTGACCTAGGATTCCTTCCTTCCAGATGCCGCCATAGATGGATGTCATGAGATTCCTATTGCATAACCACATGTACTATTTCAGTTGTGATGTACAGAGATAAGCTTTCTCTTCTGTCCTCCAATTAGCCATTCCATGCTTTACAACTGATTCTATATTCCTAAAATGCTTGAACAAAACTGATTGCCTATATTGCCAAATATAGTAGGCCCTTGGTATCCACCCAGACTTGCTTCTACCATCCCAAAATCCATGGATGCTCAATTTATTATTTATTTATTTATTTAAAACACGTATATTCTGCCCTTCTCACCCCAAAAGGGACTCAGACCAGAGAACAACATATACATGGCAAATATTCAATGTCTGGATACAATACATAAACATTAAAAATGTTTATCTAAATATTAAAATACACCATTTAAAATAGCACAATTTAAAACCGTCCTAGCCATCAGCATCAAATCCAATTGGCCCTGTCATCTTTCCCATTGTCACTTCATTGCCCTGTCCCAAAAGCTTGGTCCCACAGCCAAGTTTTTACCATCCTTCTAAAGGACAGGAGGGAGGGGGCCAACCTGAACTCACAAGGAAGGGAGTTCCATAGCCGGGGAGCAATCACCGAGAAGGCCCTGTCTCTCGTCCCCACCAATCGCACCTGTCACAATGGTGGGATGGAAAGCAGGGCCTCCCTGGAGGATCTTAATCTCCAAGATGGTACATAGAGGAAGATGCATTTGGACAGGTAATTTGGGCCAGGGCCGTTTAGGGCTTTATAAGCCAAAGCCAGCACTTTGAATTGTGCCCGGTAGCAAACTGGTAGCCAGTGGAGCTGGCGTAACACGGGAGTTGTATGCTCCCTGTATGCCGCCCCAGTTATTAACCTGGCTGCCTCTCATTGGACTATTTGAAGCTTCCGAGCAGTCTTCAAAGGCAACCCCACGTAGTGTGCATTGCAGTATATTCTAGATGTAACGAGAGCGTGGACCACCATGGCCAAGTCTGACTTCCCAAGGTACGGGCACAGCTGGCATACAAGTTTTAATTGTGCGAACGCTCCCCTGGCCACCGCTGCAACCTGGGATTCCAGGCTCAGTGATGAATCCAGGAGAACTCCCAAGCTGCGAACCTGTGCCTTCAAGGGGAGTGTGACCCCGTCCAGCACAGGTTGCAACCCTATACCCTGTTCGGCCTTGCGACTGACCAGGAGGACCTCTGTCTTGTCTGGATTCAACTTCAATTTGCTCACCCTCATCCAGACCGTCACAGCGACCAGGCACTGGTTCAGGACTTGGACAGCCTCCTTAGCATCTGGTGGAAATGAGTGATAGAGTTGGACATCATCTGCATACAGATGGCATCAAACTCCAAAACTCCGGATGATCTCACCCAGCGGCTTAATGTAGATGTTAAACAACACGGGGGACAATACTGAGCCCTGCAGGACTCCACAGGAAAATGGCTGTGGAGCTGAGCAGGAGTCCCCCAGCAACACCTTCTGGGTACAACTCTCCAGGAAGGACTGGAGCCACTGCAGAACAGTCCCTCCAAGACCCTTCCCTGCAAGGTGCCCCAGAAGGATACCGTGGTATACGGTATCGAAGGCCGCTGAGAGGTCCAGGAGAACCAACAGGGACACACTCCCCCTGTCGAGCTCTCTGCGGAAATCATCCACTAAGGCGACCATGGCTGTCTCAGTTCCATGTCCCGGTCTGAAACTGGACTGTGACGGATCCAGATAATAAGTTTCGTCCAAGAATCCCTGGAGCTGCGAGGCAACCACACGTTCCAAAACTTTGACCAAAAAGGGGAGATTGGAAACTGGCCGAAAGTTGTTCAGATCAGTGGGATCCAGTGATGGCTTTTTCAACAGCGGTTTTATCATAGCTTGTTTTAAGCTGGCTGGAATTTTGCCTTCCTGAAGGGAGGCATTCACCACCACCTTGACCCACTCTGCCAACCCCCCTCTACTGTATACCATTGTATACAGTAGCATCATAATCTGGTGCCCCTTGTATAAAGTGGCAAAATCAAGATCTACCTTTTGGATTTTTTATTCTGAATATTTCCAAGCCATGGACATCCATGGATATGGAAGCAGAATCCATGCATATGGATGTCCAGTTGAATGTTAAACTTAGGCATATGTCTAAGTTTTACTCACTTCACAACACCAACATAATGACAGAATTGAATGGAATTTGCTGTCATGATGCTGAATATTTGCATGGGGATATCCATAATTTCATTATTAAATATATGAAAGAAAATGTATTTTAAATTAAAAATAAAATAATGTTGAAAATCTGTGTCCATGTCCAATCAGCCAATCGCCCAATTATAATTTATGAAGAAAGAAAAGGTAGAAGAAAAGATGTTAGATGTCTATGATGATCAAGTTGTAAATGCTAGATAGGATGGCCACTGGTCCCACCACTGGCCATTCTGAGTGGTAATTTTTTTCTCTTGGGTTGTGGCACCCTGAACCTTAGGCAATTCTAGGTATACTACTCCTCCCCTCCTAGAAATTGGAAATCCAAAAAATGTTTAAGGAAACAAGTTAATGTTTCTGGCCTTCCCCAGTTATCTGAAAATTAACCCCCCCCCCCCGAAATGCACATATATGCTTTAGAGGGCAACAAAGGATAAAATCCTTTAAATAATAAGCTGCTGCCCGCAGCCCATTGTCCCCGGAGACAATGGTTGCTACTTTTTTATTACTTTTTTGTTATAGTAATTGCACAAGTAGGGAATCTTCAGGGGCTCCTTTCTATAATGATAGAACACATTTACCACTGTTATAGAATCATAGAATCATAAAGTTGGAAGAGACCTCATGGGTCATCCAGTCCAGCCCCCTGCATAGAAGCAGGAATATTGCATTCAAAGCACCCCTGACAGGTGGCCATCCAGCCTCTGTTTAAAAGCTTCCAAAGAAGGAGCCTCCACCACACTCCGGGGCAGAGAGCTCATCAAGTTTTAGAACATTTCACTTATCTGCAGATTTTTGGGAAATTCTCAAAGTTTTATAAACAATTTTTTAAAAAAAAAAACCTACTAAATGTTCTATACAATGTCACAAGATAAGAGGGGATCATTCCTCTAACTTTTAGAAATATTCATACATCTACTGATTTTAGGATTTTTTTTAAAAAAATGTTTTATAAAAGCTTTTTAAAAAAACCCACAACAGCTACCTCACTGAATGTATCTCATATTAACCAATAGAACTTCCATTTAGGGATGTCTTCCCAGCCCAGCACAGATATTTACTTAGTAGAAATATCAGTCAGTCCTTCCCTTTGCAGATTCAACAATTTATTGGAACTCTGGAGGCTGCTGCTATAGAGGGACAAATCTCTCCCCTATCCTGATAGGGGCTTTCTGATGCTGAGCAAAATTCTGGGAAATGTAGTTTAGGGAAGGGCCTTTTGAGCTTTCTGGCATAGGGCTCCTCATTTTCCCAAACTACATTTCCCAGAATGCTGTGCTTCCTCAGTCTCTTTCCCAGTGAATTCTGCTTTCTTCCTGCTGCTTCCCTCTCCTAATGGTGAGAGGCCATTAATGTAAAGAGGAATGGTAGCCTTTTTGACTTTGCTTTGCTTGCTTGCACTGAAAACAAAACTGACTTTAGGCAGCTTCCGAGGTTTAGAAAATTTAAACGAAAAAGTACTGGGTAATTTTTTATTCTTACTTTTTATCGCAAATCACGCTCATGTGTCAAATATCACATTGTAAGTATGAATTTAATGAATGTGATCTGACTTAGGATGATTAATAAAACATTTGTACAAACCTATTGGATATAGCACAACTTCACAATGCAGTTTTGGATTTCATAATATGTTATCATTCATGCATATTTCTATAGAATTCTGAACATTCAGATGAAAAAAGCAATGTTTAAATAGACGTTGCATAACTACTGGACTGTACAATGGTTACATTAGCTGTTTGCCTGGAAGCAATTAAGCAGTAGTGAATTAAATAATACTCACCATTCTTTTTATAAAACATTATCTCTCCTTTGAATTCTATCTTTTCTTCCAGTGACTTTTCAATTTGGAGAATCATCTGCTCATTTGTTTCAGCACCATATAAAAATTTACAGCTGCAGCTCTTCTGCATGACTTCTGTTCGTGCAAATCCGGAAAGCTCACAGAAGCCATCGGAACAGTAAACTATGGGAAATCCCTTAGCCACCTGAGCATTTGCAAGGATGAAGTTACTATCTGTAGAAAAAACACAAAAGTAAAGCATAGATGGTTCATTAGAGAAATATAGGGTTCAATATATGGATGAACTTGGTGAAGGTTGGATAGAGTCAAATACTTCTTTGAGGAACAGTAGCCTCTTGCTAGCTTTACAGGACACACTGGTACCCTTCCTAAGGGATATTCATCATATTTATTCATCCCCTCTTCCACCCATTCTCACATATTCTATGTGGGATCAGTTAAATGAAGGGGCTTGAAAAGATAAGAATGTGCCTCCCCACTCCACACACAAAAGCTAAACAAGACAGAATCTGAGTCTTATTTCAAAAATGAAAATTATTTCAATAATGAAAATGGTATAGCCTCTTCCATTACACATAAAGCAGGAAAGTAGTTTTAGAGCACCTATGGCAGGCCAGTCCTACATCAGCATGGTGTGGAATTCACTTTGAGTTTCAATGTAAATTTAAAAGAGCTATACAAGGAGCCAGCACTTTGGATAGTTCCTTCAAAATCCAGGCTAAAACCAGACTGGATTTCCCACTGCACCAGCATGGAAGCTACCATTTGCCACTTCATGTGACATTCAGTCTTTATGTACTTCTCAGCATCTGTGAGTTGAGGCAACTGCCTCATTCTTTGTCATGGAAAACTAGTCCTGCTTTTAGAGTTTTGTCAAGCAAACACATCACTATTCAAATCCATTAAATGTAAGAGCAGTAAAGAATGATGAATCACAGTGCAAAAACTTTCCAGGCCACAGAGCTCAGCTAAATTCAACACAACTTTGCAATCTTAAAATGCCTCTTCATCTCTAGAAATTGCAGCAACAATAACTTTTGCTGGAGGGTGCTATAGGGGGAAACCATCCAAGTTGAATGTGCTCAACAAGATGAAATCTCTCACTGGAGAACTACAACTTTCTCAGACCTGCTTATTACAAGGCCAACAGCCTAGATGGGAAAGGGAAATAACTTGCATGGTTAATTTAGAAAAGCCACAAGGACCAACAGGTATCAGGACCTGCATGTAATATTCAGCTTATTTATGCAACTATCTGCTAATTCAACTATCCACAACTTGAAAATATTCCAAAAACTAGTCAACCAAATTTTTAGATCCTCAAAATTTTTTCTTGGTGAGGACATGGTAGAGATTCTACTTGGTGGCTACTCCCAGACTGTGGAACTCTTTTCCATAGGAGCCTCCATCGAAAAATGTAAACTTACACTTTATGTCTAACTGTAAAATAAGATGTATGAAACTGATTGGTCAGGTAATGCCAGTGGAGCAGGCTGAGCCTGGCACTTTTGGTTAATGTTACATTTTGTTCAGGCTTGAGCTATGCACATGCAGAGAGAGATGAAGAGAGAAGCAGAGAGAGACAGATTTTGGAGTATGCTCTTGCTTCATGAACTGAAGGGATTGATCCACATGGATTTGAAATATCTCCTAAAAGGACATTATGTGAGGATACAATTGATCACACTGTACATATGTTGTTCTGAACTACAGAGAGTAAACTACTTGTTCTTTACTATTCACCTTTGTGGCATATTTTCTTTCTCTGGCAAGGCAGTGTGTGGGCTGATCAAATGTGAACTACATGTGGTTTATTTTACATTACACCACATATATTGTGGAAATATATTTTAATATTAATATGTGTATTCTATGGAGTATCTTTAAACGATTATGTATCTTATCAATGTTGTAAATCACCTCAAGCCATGAGGAAAGGTGGGGAAGAAATAAAATTATCATCGTCATCATCATCATCATCAGTTAGATCTAAAATTAAATACTGTAGCAGAAGGGATTTTCAAAGTGATTGAATGTTTTACCTTTTAAAGCATGCTTTAATGTGCTGGAAATATTGTAGCCAGATGCTTTTTAAACTGAATTGCTATTTATTGGTTTTTGAACTTTTGGAAAATAGCATTTTACTGCATTTGTTAAAATTATTTTGCTGGGAAAGAGGATGGGTATTAACAAATAACTGTACACATCTCTTAATTGAGACAGAACTGAGGATACTAGGGATAATCAGTTGTTGATATGTTTATATATATATATATATATATATATATATATATACACACACACACACACACACACACACACACACACACACACACACACACACACAAAGAAACAAAAGTAAGCAAAATAAAGGTTATAATATGATTTCATAAATTCCTAAGCAAAAAGCAAAAACTATTTCTGATGTTAGTCGTAACATTTAAATAGAGCTCATCTGTTCACTACCTACTCACTAATCAGAAAGGTTGAAACCATTGTTGGAGTCCTCAAACTATCACTTTTGTTTTGCTAAATGGAAAATGAATATCATTATCAGTTATATGAATCTGCGTGCTGATTCTGCTGTCAAAACAAAATCAGATTCCCCTACTAGTAAAAGAATTAAAATCATATGCTTGCCATGCAAATTGATGACAGCACCTCTATATAAGAGCTAATGATCATGTATCTAAAAAGCATCTGCAGAGTACAAATTAATTTATTCCTGGGTTTCCTATTGTTTAAAATACAATTACCCACTGCAGAGTCATTCATCCTCTCAGCTAATTCGATGTGAATTACATGAAGCAGAAAGAACACTGACTAGATAAAAGGGATTCAAGGGTTATGCTAACTAAATGCAAAAGGACTTACATCATGTAGGGATACAAATGGAATAGAATATAAATTAAAATTATGTCAGGCTCAATCTAGAATGTCTTAGCAAATGCCCTAAAACCAAAGCACTTGTACAACATTAATCCTGCTCAGCCTCCAAGCTATATTTTTTATTTTTTTAAAAAAACACTTGTATAGTACATCTTCATAACTTCCTAAGAAGGTGGAAAGAGTATGCATATTCTATACAGCGCCAATCATAGTGCAGCAGGCAATGATGCCCCAGCATATGAGAGGGAGAGAGAGAAAGAGAGAAAGAGAGAAAGAGATAGAGTGTGTGTGTGTGTTGTATGTGTGTTTTAGGTGTGTTGTCTAAGTGTGGCACATTTCCACTTGGTTTGTGTTTCCTCGTAATTAAAGTACAACAACTTAAGACTTTAGTGAAAGAAAGAACATGTAAATACAAAGCCTTGCTGACTAAATTTCTAATCTTGTTTGCTATGAGCCTTAACAATTTCCCCTCAAAGACTGCATCTACACCTTGCAGATAAAGCCTGGCATAAATCTTCCCTTGGAACAGACTTATTGTCCAAATGACCCAGGACTACATTTGCTCCACTGGGTGATGTCAACACCATCATGCTGCACTATTCAGTTTAAGGAAATGGGCTGTCAACAGTGTCTGTGTAGATAGCAGTTCAGCCCAAATCAGACATCATCCAGCAGTCCAGACTGGCTCAAAGCTCTGGGATATATCAGAGATTCCAGCAAACTCTGGAGCATCTCTGATTTTGCTTAAGGCACGCCAAATATGTGTAAAGAGAATTTCCATGATACTCATCAGAAGCTGTTGTGCATCATGAAGACTGCCTGTTGTTCATGTGTGGTCAGTATGGGTTTAGGGCCAGTTTAGACAAGGCCAAAGTTGATCAAAACATTGAAACAAACAATATCTCTTCTCTATCCATCCAGCCATAGAATAGCTGCTTAAATACACATATATGTATATGAAGAAACATTTCATAGGCCTCTTTGCACACTCAAGTAGGTGGTAGGATTGAAAGAAGTGTCTCTCCTGATGATCTCATGAACAAGTTCACATGAGCAGATATGGACTGTGAGATATCTTGTCCCTAAGTCATATAGGAATGTATAGGTAAAAACAAGCACTTTAAATTATGCCTGGAAAAAGACTGCCAGCCAGTATATAAAAAGATATGTATGCTTTCTGTAACCAGCCTCAGTATGTCTGGCTACAGTACTTTGTACCAGCTGAAGTTTCTAAACACTCAGCTCCACATACAGAAATTCAAGTGGGATATAACTAGGGCATATATCACCATGGCCAGATCAGCCATCTCTAGGCATGAGTACAATTGACAAACTAGCTTTAAGTTTGTAAAAGCAATTCTGTTGTTTGCAGAAACCTGAGTCTCCATACTGAAAGCTGAGTCAAAGAGTATACCCAAACTGCAAACCTGGATCTTCAGGGGAAACATAATTTTATCCAGCCCAGTCTTAATTACTATCTGCTCATATACTTTTTGACTTATGAGAAGCAGCTCTATCTTGTCTGTATTTGAAAAAAAAATCATTTATACCTCAGCTCTGGGTTTTTTGATTCAGTGCAATCATTATGTGAATGACACTCAACTCAGCTGTTTTTTTCCACCTCAAACCAAGAAAGCTGTTTCAGTGTTATACTGATGCCTGTCATCAGTAATGGACTGGGTGTGGCAGATCAAATTGAAATCATTCTTCACCCTCACCATGGCATCTGCATACTATCATCCAGTAGAGTTTTCTCAAATGGTCAGGGACCTTTTACATTTTCCTATGTATGCAAACTACTCAACAGCCAGTGGTTTTGCAGATAAATTGATTCTTTGCAGATAAAATTGTTTGGTTTTGTTCTGACTGCAGTTGATATTGGTCCAGTGGATATAACCTTGACCCCTGACCAAGTGGGATAACACTTCCTCACTTGAAGAAAGGGAAAGGTGATTCTTCTGGTCAGGCCCTACATCTCAGGTTCTGATCCCAGGTTTTCTGCTTTATATTGGATTATATGAGTCCGCACTGCCAGATAATTCAAGATAAACAGAAAACCTGGGATGAGATCCTGGGATATAGGGCCTGTTTGGAAGGGCCCTCAGTTCACATATTATTACTGCAAGCACCATACTTACAGAAACAAAGAATGTAACCCAAATCTAAGCAGGGAAATATTTTGGAAATCTTTTATAGATTTTCAGTAGAATTGGCATCAGGAAGTCTTTCATTCAGAACTATGCTTCCTAGTGAAACAGGTTTCATTAAAGCTAATTAAAATAAGTTTAAAATACACTTGTTTTAAATAAAGGAGGCTTTTGTCA